CTGAGATAGCTTGGACCCAAGCCATTTAGGGCTTTAAAGATGATAACCGACACCTTGTACTGGGTCCGGAAACCAATAGGCAACCAGTGGAGGGACCTCAAAACCGGAGTAATGTGGTCCCTCCTGGATGTTCCCGAAACAAGCCTGGCTGCCATATTTTGTACCAGCTGTAATTTCCGAACCAAGCACAAGGGTAGCCCCATGTAGAGCGCATTACAAAAATCGAGGCGTGAGGTTACCAGCGCATGCACAACAGTCTCGAGATCCTGACTGTCACATTTACCTGATTTGTCATCAGGAGCAATGAGTCAAGGAGCACCTCCAGACTGCGAACACAGTCACTGGAGGAGAGTGTGGCCCCATCCAGGACTGGAGGTTGCAACCCAATTCTTGGTTTCGGGGCCGCTACCATGAGCACCTCCATCTTGTCCGGATTCAGTTTCAGTCTGTTTTTCCTCATCCAGCCCATTACCGCCCGAAGACATTCATTGAGAGAGGAGATGCTTTATAGGGTTTTCTTCATATGTAGAGAGATCTTGTAGCACCTTTGAGACTAACTGAAAGAAAAAAGTTGGCAGCATGAACTTTTGTAGACTCCAGTCTACTTCCTCAGATGCATTTGGTGGAGTGGAAACCAGGGACAGACATATATATGCCATTGGTATGCGAGAATATCAGTTCAAGCTCAAAATGCTTTGTGTATGGAAATGAAGTAGCAAATGGTTGTTAGTGAACAAAGACATTGGCTTTTCTTAGTCAAGGAATACTCAGAGGTAACTTGAATTCTTGTTCTCTCTAGATATGGAAGCCTGAGGTTACACTGAGTTGGTTTGAACCTGCTGCCCCATTTATACGTAACTAAACAAACACAAGGCACTGAAGTTGAAGGCAATATGAAGTCAGTGGAAAATTATTAATCGGAGAGAAGGTTGCTTCTGTCCTTAGCTAACCCTAATATGAATGACAGCAGAAACAATGAGGAATATGTAATCACCCGCTCATCAGCATAAAGCTTTTAATACAATATGAATGTGTCTGCCCTATGCCTTCCTGACATCTCTGTTAATTGTCCTTTCACAATTAACATTATATTCAATTGTGCCACTAATATGTACAACTTGTGGTCTACCAGATGTTGTTGAACTGCAACCCCAGGAGCCTTAGTTGGTATAGCAAATGAAGAGGGATGCTAGGAATTGCATTTCAACAACTTCCGGAGGACCACACTTTACTCAGTCCAGGATATGTTTACTGCATATGCACTTATATGCCTGTTAACATGTGTATGTGCCTGCTGACAGGATAGCACTCAAGGTGACCATTTATGCATCACAATCTGAAAAGAGGAAATGCATCACTGAAAAAGACAAGAGGACCACCAGTCTGCATAAACTTTGCATATGTTGAGTTATACATAAGGATTTGTTGTTGCTGTTGTTATAGTATGCCTTCAAATCATTTCCAACTTGTGGCAACCTTAAGTCAACCCTATCATCGGGTTTTCTTGGCAGGACTTGTTCAGAGGAGGTTTGCCGTTGCCTTCCCCTGAGGCTGAGAGAGTGTGATTTGCCCAGTGGGTTTCATGGCTGAACGGGGAATCGAACCCTGGTCTCCAGAGTCATAGTCCAACACTCAAACCACTACACCACACTGGCTCTCAGTGGGACTAAGGTTACATATTTAATATAATTTAAAGACAATAGAATACATTTAACCATAATGGAGAAGACTGTATTTGGGCAACATATATGCCTGGTGTGCTTACCGTACGTAGTCTGGGTTGGTGACCTCTCCAAGGAAGCAAACAGCTGCCGCCTCCTCCTCCTCTTCTTTATATTTTTTCTGTTACTATTGTCATCCTGTATTTTATCAGTTTGGGATGCAAGGTGGCTTACAGTAGTTAAAACAAACATAGGCTGCATCTACAATACAAAATTAATGCAGTTCAGTACCCATTTTAACTGCCATGGCTCAGTGTGATGGATTTCTGAGATTTGTCATTTTGTGAAATATTCTTCTCTTTCAGAGAGCTCTGGTGCCACCACAAACTATAAATCCCAGGATTCCAAAAGATGGAGCCATGGCAGTTAAAGCAGTATCAAATTGCATTAATTCTGCAGTGTGGCAGCAGCCATAGTTTAAAAAGAGGAAAGCAATTAAACCACCATAATATTGGAACCCAGTTAAAACAAATTAGACACAGCAACAAATAAAAGTTCAGCACATTATACAAGGCCCTGGAAAATCTGTTCTCAAAGGGCTGCCAAAATAAAAAGAGTTTTACCTGCTTGGGGAAAGATCGTAAGAAGGGTTAGAGTTCAGTTTCTCTGGGAAGGGAGTTCTACAGTGAGCAGCTACAGGGAAGGCCTTCTCCTCTATTCGCACCAGATGTGCTTGCAAGGGTGATGGAAAAGGGCCTCCCCAGAAGAATCATAGAATTGGAAGAGACCACAAGGGCCATCCAGTCCAACCCCCCCTGCCATGCAGGAACTCACAATCAAAGCTTCCCTGACAGATGGCCATCCAGCCTCTGTTTAAAGACCTCCAAAGAAGGAGACTCCACCACTCTCCGAAGGAGTGTGTTCCACTGTCAAACAGCTCTTACTGTCAGGAAGTTCTTCCTAATGTTGAGGTGGAATCTCTTTTCTTCTAGTTTGAATCCATTGCTCTGAGTCCTATTCTCTGAAGCAGCAGAAAACAAGCTTGCTCCATCCTCAATATGACACCCGTTCAAATATTTAAACGGGGCTATCATATCACCTCTTAGCCATCTCTTCTCCAGGCTAAACATACTCATTTCCCTAAGTCATTCCTCATAAGGCATGGTTTCCAGACCCTTCACCATTACAGGGAGGATGCAGACGGGCGGCCCTGGGCTGCCCCGGAAAACAGGATCAAGGCCGACGCTGCCAGATGTGTCGGCCCCGATCCTCCCTTTCGCCACCTGGGAAAGGAGTGCCAAAACACCGCTCCTTTCCCAGGTGGCAAAAAGGGTACCCAAAGAGCCGCCACACGACTCTTTTGCGCCGGGAGGACATCCTGACAGCACACCCCATGCATAGCGACACGCACTATGATGATGTACTTGGGAAGGGGTTGGCACGACTGGCGTGTGGCTGTCCCCCCCTCCCCTGCCTCCAAGACGACATTTTGCGCTGTCTGTAGAGGCCCTTAGCTGCCCTCCTTTGGATACGCTCCAGCTTCTCAACATCCTTTTTGAATTGTGGTGCCCAGGAGTAGACACAGTATTCCAGGTGAAACCTGACTAAAGCAGAATAGAATGGCACAATTACTTCCCTTGATCTAGACCAGGGGTAGGTAACCTTTTTGAGCTGGGGGCCGGGTTGCTGTCCCTCAGACAGTTGGGGGGGCCGAAGCACCAAAAATTAATTAATTAATTAATTAATTAATTAAAATTAAAAATTAAAAAAATTAAAACATTAAAAAAAATGCATGCACACTCTCTCAGCCCCAGAAAAGCCATGGCAAACCCCCTGTGGAGATTTTGCCAAGAAAACCCCAAGAACAAGTAATAACAACAATAATCAATATCATCATGGCAGGGGGCGGTGGCGGCAGGACTGGCCTGGGGCCGGTCCAAAGGCCTTGGGGGGCCGCATCCGGCCCCCAGGCCTTAGGTTGCCTACCCCTGATCTAGACACTATACTTCTATTGATGCAGCCTAGAAATGCATTGACCTTTTTAGCTGCTACATCACACTGTTGCCTCAAGTTCAACTTGTGGTTTACTAGGACTCCTAGATCCCTTTCACATATAGTCTTCTTAAGCCAGGTGTTCCTCATCCTGTATCTATGCATTTTATTTTTCTGCCCTAAGTGCAGTACCTTACATTTCCCCATGTTGAAATTTATTTTGTTAGCTTTGGCCCAGCTTTCTAATCTATTTTTGAATGTTGATGTCATCTGCAAATTTGATAAGCATGCCCCTTAATTCTTCCATCCAAGTTGTTGATAAAGACTTGGATGAAATAGCAATTGGGCCCAGGGCAGAACCCTCTGGCACCCCACTGGTCACTCAAAACACAGGCAATTTCAGAAAATGAAGTGGGCTGCTTTGAGATCCCTTGGGAGAAACAAATCATGGGTGGCATACCAACAGAGCTGCTCCATGCTACAGAGACAGGGTCTATTCTAGTTCTAACTGAAATCCTTCAACAAATATGGAAAACAAAAGAATGGCCCACAGATTAGAAATGTTCAACACACATCCCTATCCCCAGTAAATGCAGCAACCATGGGACGTTTGCATTAATCTCCCATGCAAGCAAAGACATGCTCAAAATTCTAAAGCTGGGTTCAGAAGAGGAAGAGGAACAAGTAATCATATTGCAAACACACATTGGATAATGCAGCACACCAAAGGATTTCAGAAGAAAATCAGCCAGCACTTTATAGGTTATGGCAAAGGCTTTGATTAGATCATGAAGAACTATGGATTGCTCTTAAAGAATTAGGTGTGCTACAACATTTGATTATCCTAATACATAACGTGAACTCAGAACAAGTGTTCACTGTTGGGACAATATAGAGAAACAGAGTACAGTTGTCCCTCCCCATTCGCAGATTTTTGAGTCTGTGGTCTCGCTCTTTGTGGGGAGGGACAAGCACCTGTTTTAAATGGCCATGCACGCGCCATGGGCACACACACCATTAGTTTCAATGGGGCTCCAATATTAGCAAGCCGCCATTTTTGCGGGAGGGGAGGCAGAATGGATCCCCCACAAATTGGGAGGGGCAACTGTAGTTTCCAAATGGCAAGGGGACAGGCAAGGCTGATTTTTATCACTATTTAAGTTGTATGCTAAACATAGCATATGCAAAGCAAGATTAGACTGAGAGGAAGGAGCATCAACAATTTAAAATATGCATATGACACCATACTACTAGCAAAAAATAGGAAATACTTGGAACAATTACTGAGGAAAGTCAAGCAGAAAGAAAGAAAGAAAGAAAGAAAGAAAGAAAGAAAGAAAGAAAGAAAGAAAGCAGGTTTACCAGTGAACATTAAGAAAACAAACAACCCTAGATGATTTATATAACTTTAAAGTAGATGATGATGACATTGAGATAGTTCAAGGTTTTCCATACCTTAGCTTAACCATTAATCAGAATGGAGACTGCAGTCATGAAATCAGAAGAAGAAAGGACAGATATGAAGGAATTAAACAAGATCCTGAAGTGTAAAGATATATAATTGAATGCTAGAGTCAGTACATATTGTTCACGTCGTTGTATTTTTTATTTCTATGTATGGTTGTGAAAGCTGGGCAATGAAGAAATCTGATAGGGAGAAAATAAAATATGAAATAAATTATTTTAACTGAGGTGCTGGAGTAGAGGTCTAAGGATAACTGGCTCCTAAAGCAAGTCAAGTCTGAACTCTCCCTAGAAGCCAATATGACTAAAGTGAGACTCTTGTACTCCATACATATCACGAGAAGACATGGCTCACTAGAAATGACAATAATACTTGGTAAGGTAGAGAGCCAGCGCAACGTAACGGTTTGGGTTTTGGACTTTGATTCTGGAGACTAGGGTTTGATTCTCAGCTCAGCCATAAAACCAACTGGGTGGCCATGGGGAAGTCACACATTGGAGGAAGGTAATGGCAAATCTCCTTTGAACAAATCTTGCCAAGAAAACACCAAGACAGGTTTACCATAAGTCAGAAATGATTTGAAGGCACACAACAACAAGGTACAAGGCACTAGGAGAAGAGGAAGACTGCATTACAGATGGATGGACTTAATGAAGGAAGCCACATCTTTGAGCCTGCGAAATCTGAGCAGGGCTGTTGATGACGGTAGCATGGAGGTCTCATTCCTAGGGTTGTCATAAGACCTGCATCCATGTAGACCTGACAGCAGATACTGAGATCTGCTTGGATGTTTTTGATATGTCTCCTAGATCTAAATAACAGAGAGATATTATGCAGTAGGCCACCAGTGGCACCTAGTGCCACTAGGTGGTAGCATAGATTTAGCAACAATCAGCTAAGAACGTATTCTTTGTCCTGTGCCTTCCAGTTGGCACTCACTTATGGTGACTCTCCTCTTACAGGGTTTTCTTGGCAAGATTTATTATTATTATTATTAGTAGTATTCTGTTTATTTATATCCTGTCTTCCTCCCAACATAGGGACTCAAGGAGGCTAACGACTCTAAAACAAAACATTAAAAAAGCAAAGTTTAAAAAAAACTCAGAGAAGATTGTCATTGGGATGAGAGAGTGTGTGCCTTTTCTCAAAACCACTGAGTGGCTTTCCACAGCTGAAGGGGATTGGAGCTCTGGTCTCCCAGAGTTTTTGTCTAGTACGAAAGCCACTGCACATGCTGGATGCATAAGAAAATATTAGAGGCTGAAGGAAACAAACCAGAAGGCACAAGGGCGAGAGGAAAGAGACAGGATGGTGTGGCTGCTGCATCACAGGGGAAGAAGAGCACACAAGGGCTGGGAGGAGAAAAGAAGGTGGAAGGAGGAAGCAAGAAAGACAGACAGAGACTCTAACAGTGGTGATTAAAGGGGAAGGAGAGGGTCCAATTGAAACTTAAATTTTAATATCTTTTGTATTTCCGAATGTATTTGTTTCCAGTATATCTTAGTTTTATCACAATTCCACCAAATGTGATAGAAAT